TAAACTTTATAAAGGACACAAGCACAAAGGATTTTTTTTTACTTACAATAAAAACATGCTTAAAACATCAGCACCCTTGCAATATTTTGTTTATTTAAGAGAAGGAGAAGAAGAGAGATTGGATTTATACCCCGCCCTTCACTACCCAAAGGTGTCTCAGAGCGGCTTACAAACTCCTTTCCTTCCCCCTCCCCACAAGAGACCCCCTGTGAGGCAGGTGGGGCTAAGAGAGCTCTTGACGGAAACTGCCCTTTTTCAAGGACAGCTCTTATCAGAACTACGGCTTGCCCAAGGCCATCTAGCCAGGTGCAAGTGGAGGAGTGGGGAATCAAACCCGGTTCTCCCAGATTAGAGTCCGCGCACTTAACCACGACACCAAACTGGCACAGTTAACAGTGTCTGATAACTGACGCCTCTCACTCTGAATTATTACATCAAAGTGCCTGTGCTGTTGCAATCTTGAGTATGCTGCTCAGGTGTGTATCTGTAACCTGCAAACCTACGATGACGCAGCAGCAGCAGAACTGGAAGAAGAAGCAGAAGACAGCCAGTTCCACTGCGGGCCTGAGAGGAGCCCTAGGGCCCCGGGCCTCATGTTTGACACCCCTGGAATAAAGGAAGCGGGAGAGGCTGCTAACCTCTCTACCCTTTCATCTGTACAGCAGAACCGCAGCAGGCGCTTTCCAAACCACTCCTCCACCAGCACAGTGACGTGTTAAGACATTCATCTCACACGAGCAACGAGCCACCGGTTTCCACAGCAAGAATCAAAACCCACTGGCTCCGACACTGGCCTGCAGTATTGATCACCCTGATTTGCACCCAGGTGTCTCCGGGTAGCAGCCAGCGCGGCTGAAGTTCAGCGACCTGCGTGCGGATCCTGCGCGGCTGGCTGCCAAGCAAAGAGGTGGCCCCTCCTTGACACCTGTGCTTGGTGCTTACCTGGCCTGCCGGCAGCGGCTGGTCGAGCATTTCGACATCAGGATGCTGAGGGAGGTTGTAGAGCCTGCAGAGGTCGCATATCAATCGCTTCAGCTGCTGGAGAAGCTGCAAGACAAGTTTAAGGAGTCAGTGGCGTATACGCGTCACAACTTTTTTTAGTAAGTCGATGCGCTGGTTGTGGATACAAGAAAAACCAAGCAGTGCCGTATTCGGACAAAGGGGCCTAGGATAAAACCCACAGATTCTTATTCCTCCTCTGGAATCTCTTCCTCCATCTACTAGAACCCTAAAAATACCTAGTTATAGACGTGTTTTCACTCTTGCTAGGCTTAACTCTTTTCCCACTGCTGAGTTAACAGGTCGCTTTTCTAAAGTCCCATACTCGGATCGCTTCTGTAACTGTGAGACTGGAGCCATGGAAACACTTGGCCGTCTTCTATTATTATGTCATCAGTGGTCGACTCCTAGATCGATTTGGATCACTCCAGTTCTCACCAAACACCGATTACCTACTGAAGTCTGGATGGTCCCCATCCGTTGGCAGACACTAATCCTGAAACCACTTATTCTGTTACTACATTTTAAATGATAGTTCTATCTGTAAAGCGACAAAAATCTGGCTTGACCCAGCTGTAACAGAATTTGGTATGCACCCAGTTTATTATGATTTAAATGAATATTTAAATGAATTATCGTTTTGTTCATGACTTCTGTTTTAACATTTTAGATCTTTTAGATTTGATTACTTCGACTGTAAAAAAGAGCCAGTTGGGTGTCGTGGTTAGGAGCGCGGACTCTAATCTGGGAGAACCAGGTTTGATTCCCCACTCCTCCACTTACACCTGCTGGGTGACCTTGGGCAAGCCATAGTTCTGGCACAGCTGTTCTTGAAAAAGAGCAGTTTCTGTCAGAGCTCTCTCAGCCCCACCGACCTCACAGGGTGTCTGTTGTGGGGAGGGAAAGGGAAAGGAGTTTGCAAGCCGCTCTGAGACTCCTTTGGGTAGTGAAGGGCGGGGTATAAATCCAATCCAATCTTCTTCTTCTTCCTTCTTATTGTAAAGTTCGTATTAGGAGGCTAATGTTGTATATTCATCTTTTATAATTGAGCTTAAGACCTTTGGTCATAGAAGCTAATAAACATAAGTTAGTAACCACAGATTTTTAACAGTAAAGGTAAAGGTCTCCCTTGCTCAAAAGCCAGTCGAGTCCGGCTCTAGGGTTGCAGTGCTCATCTCCGTTTCAAAGCCGAAGAGCCAGCGCTGTCCGAAGACGTTTCTGTGGTCATGTGGCCGGCATGACTAAACACCAAGGCGCACGGAACGCTGTTACCTTCCCACTGAAGTGGTACCTATTTATCTACTTGCAATTTCTTGCTTCCGAACTGCTAGGTTGGCAGGAGCTGGAACTAGAGACGGGAGCTCACTCTGTCATGCGGCACACTCGGGTCTTGAACTGCTGAACTACCGACCTTCCACAGCCTGCATGACCACACATGGAGTCGGAGTTGGACCCTGCCGATCTCCTCCAATGGCGCTTCCCTCCAGCCCAAGGTGCCCGTCCCTCAGCCACAGGCAAGCTCCGCTGCTAGCAGAACGGGGAGGTCTCCCATCCAAGTGGTCACCGGGGCCGACCCTGCTTAGCTTTGGAAGATCCAGTGAGATCAGGCCAGCCTGGGCCGTCCAGGTCAGGGCTGCCGAAGGGGAGCCGCACTCAGCGTAGCCGCAGCCCACTCCGTTCCGTCATTGCCACGGATCCCACGTTAATGTTTAACAAGCCAGCCTTGAGAGCGATCCAAAGGGAGTGCCGCTTACCGGGCAGATGCCGGTCTAGGGACTGCTCAGCATCTCCGCTTAGAATCCCGCCTTCATATTTCTTTTAAGAGCCCAGTAATTACCATCGGTTCCCCTCCAGCGAAACAGATGTCATCCCTCGACACACTCCGGGGAAAGCCGCCTCGCGGCAGGGAGAGCCATTTAAAGGGCAGATGGGGGGGGGAGGTATTTGCTGGCTAAAAATAGCCTCCTCCCAGCCGTGGGCAGGGCAGGGTGTCAAGGGGCGAAAGAAACCTGGCTGTTGACAGATGCCCAGGTGAGTCCAGGTGGCTTCCTGACTCCCAGCCATTGTTGATCTTTCGCTCCTGCATGTGCCCGGCTTGGCTTACCTGTGGGCCAAAGGCCGCCTGCTTTTTTTCCTTCCTGCCAGCGTGGCGTAGTGGTATAAGAGCGGCAGGCTCTAATCTGGGAGGACCGGGTTTGATTCCCCCACTCCTCCGTGGGCAGCCAGCTGGGTGACCTTGGGTCAGTCACAAGTTCTCTCAGAGCTGTCCTCTCAAGAGCGGTCTCCGAGAGAGCTCTCTCAGCCCCGCCTACCTCACAGGGTGCCTGTTGTGGGGAGGGGAAGGGGGAGGAGATTGTAAGCCGCTCTGAGACTCCTTCGGGTCGTGAAGGGCGGGGTATAAACCCAATCTCTTCTCCTTCCTCCTCCTCCTCCTCCTTTCCCTTACTTGGGTAGTCTAGGCTGGCCTGACCTCCTCGGATCTTGGAAGCTAAGCAGGGCTGTCCCTTTTCAGTGTTTGGATGAGAGACCACCAAGGAAGACGAGGGTAGCGCTGCAGAGTCAGGCAATGGCAAACCCACCTTTTTTCATCAGCTCTGACCCAAATGGCCCAGGCTGGCCTGATCTCATCAGATCTCAGAAGCTAAGCAGGGTCAGCCCTGCTTAGCACTTGGATGGGAGACCGCCAGGGAAGTCCAGGGTCACTGTGGAGAGGCAGGCGAGGGGGAAACCACCTCTGTCCCTCTGCTCTGACCCGGATGATGTAGGCTAGTCCGGTCTGACCAGATCTCAAAAGGCTAAGCAGGGTCGACCTGCTTAGAACGGATAAAAGGAAGTCCTTCTTCACCCAAAGAGTGATTGACACATGGAAATCACTGCCCCAGGAGGGGGGGGCGGCTACAAGCATGGCGGGCTTCAAGAGGGAATTGGATAAACATCTGGAGCAGAGGTCCATCAGTGGCTATTAGCCACAAGGTATAGATAGGAACTCTCAGTCTGGGGCAAGGGATGCTCTGTATTCTTGGTGGGTTTCTTTTGGGGGGGGGGACAGTGCTTCTAGTGTCCTGGCCCCACTGCTGGACCTCCTGAGGGCAACTGGTATTTCTGGCCACTGATGGGCCACTGGCCTGATCCAACAATGACGTCTCTTCTGTTCTTATGACCCCGGCTAGTATTTGGATGGGAGGCCTGGAAGGAATACCAGGATAGCGATGCAGAGACCGACCGTGGCAAACCACCCCCTGAACGTCTCCCGTGCTGAAAACCCCACAGGGGCTCCCCGTAAATCGGCGGTGACTTGACGACAAAACGACCCCATCCTCACGCCCGCTGGACTCCCGTGTCGTGAAAGTCAAGGAGGTCCTCGCCCCAGTCAACATCTCCCTTTCCTGCTCAGAAATAAAATCAAACGGTCGGGCTGGGAGGAGAGGCTAACTGTCTTCCGAGGGCAGGATCCTGCCTCAAGTCGGGCGCTTCGTCCGGACCACACGGAGAGCTGGATGCGGGCAGGCCACACCCCATTGTACGCAAAACAGGCAGCTGCAGAGAAGCCAAGCCCCAACAACGGAACGGAAGGTGGGGACACGGACAATTCGTTTCTCGCTAGCTCCTCTGACCGGTTAGGGGATTTGTAAAGGTTAAAAGTCCCCCTTGCTCAAAAGCCAGTCAACTCCGACTCTAGGGGTGTGGTGCTCATCTCCATTTCCAAGCCAAAGAGCCAGCGCTGTCCGAAGACTTCTCCATGGTCACGTGGCCAGCGTGACTAAATGTTGAGGCTCACGGAACGCTGTCACCTTCCCACCGAAGGGGTACCTATTTATCTACTTGCAGTTTCTTGCTTTCGAACTGCTGGGTTGGCAGGAGCTTGGGCCAGAGATGGGAGCTCACCCCGTCACGCGGCATTTGGGTCTCGAACTGTAGAACTACAGACCTTCCGGTCTGCAGCTCAGCAACTTAACCTCTGAGCCACTGTGGCTCTTAGGGGATTTGTGCTCAGTACCAAATAGGCAAGCGGATCCAGAATTTCCGACACAGGTGCCGTGAACAGGTCAGTCCTCGGAAACCGAGGTGCCGAGGCGGGAACCTGTCGATTCCGGTTCTCACGCCGTGGTTTCGGTGGATCCCTCCGATGGCATTTCGGCGTGTCGAGGCAGCTGACGCCTCCACCCCCTTTCTGCAGCTTGCAGCAGCCAGGGGCGTGTCGGGATAAGCCTCCTCTTGGGGAAGGCGGGAAGCCACGCCTGCCTGCAGTCGGGGGCTCTCCTCGCTCTCAGGCATGTCTGTGCTTGCCGGGGAGAAGTCTGAGGTCATGAGCTGGGCGGTCTGGGGATTAGACCACCAGCAGACTTCATGTTCCTGGGATCCCAGATCACCGCAGACTGTGACAGCAGCCATGAAATTAAAAGACGCCTGCTCCTTGGGAGGAAAGCGATGGCGAACGTAAACAGCATGATAAAAAGTAGAGATATCACCCTGCCAACAAAAGTCCACATAGTCCACATAGCAATGGTATTCCCAGTAGTCATGTATGGCTGCGAGAGTTGGACTATAAGGAAGGCCGAGCGCCGAAGAATAGATTCTTTTGAACTATGGTGCTGGAGAAGACTCTTGAGAGTCCCTTGGACTGCAAGGAGATCAAATCAGTCAATCCTCAAAGAAATCAACCCTGACTGTTCCCTGGAAGGCCAGATGATGAAACTGAAGCTCAAATACTTTGGCCACCCAATGAGAAGGGAGCCCTCACTGGAGAAGACCCTGATGCTGGGAAAGATTGAAGGTCAAAGAAGACGGGGACGGCAAAGGATGAGATGGTTAGACAGTGTCATCGATGCAACAAACATGAAGTTGAGCCAACTTCAGAGGACGGCAGAAGACAGGAAGGCCTGGCGTGATCTGGTCCATGGGGTCGCGAAGAGTTGGACTCGACTGTGCGACTGAACAACAACAACAGAGTGCCGAAGGATGTCTCATGTCGAGGGAGGGAACGTTAATCTCTAGTCCTCGTGGCTGGGTGGGGGGAGAAAGAACTTCATCAAGACAATATCTGCAAAAGGACATTAGTTTAATTTCACTTACTTCATTTATACCCTCCCTTTCTCCCCAACGGGGACGCAAAGCTGCTCGCGTCATTCTCCTCTTCTCCGTTTCTGTCCTCACAACCGCCCTGTGAGGTAGGTTAGGCTGAGAGGGCGTGAATGGCTTCCTCTTCCTCTTCCTCCTCCTCTTCCTCAAGAGCCAGTTTGGTGTCGTGGTTAAGTTCGCAGACTCTAATCCGGGAGAACCGGGTTTGATTCCCCACTCCTCCACTTGCAGCTGCTGGAAGACCTTGGGCAAGCCGGGGTTCTGTCAGAGCTGTTTCTCAAGGACAGTTCTGGAAAGAGCTCTCTCAGCCCCGCCTACCTCACAGGCAATGCTCCCTCTAAGCTGTGGAGACTTGTGAGCAAAAATTCTACTTTGTGAGCTCCTGGCATTGTGAGCCGGTGATTTGGCTACCGCATCAGTTACTTTGCTCTGGAGCCCTCCTTCCTGAGCGGAGACAACAATGTGTGAGCCAGAGGCTAAAAAATTGTGAGCCAGCTCACACTCACTCAGCTTAGAGGGAACACTGCTCACCGAGTGAAAGGCGGGGTATAAATCTAATCTCTTCTTCTCCTCTTCTTCTTCTTCAGTTTTACCCATTTCCTGCACTGTCGAGAGCCGTCCTTTTTTAACTGGGACGCATCTGGGTCTTCCAATGTCTAGCGAAAGTTATTCTTGCCACCGCCAATAAGTTTCGCACCACGTTGGCAGCGGCACGACTCTCGATCTGGAAAGCGATCGTGTCTGAGAGGGACCATCGAGGCCTCGGCCGTACCAGTTTCCCGCAGGGCCCAGGGACTCTCGTGCAGGAGGGGTTTTGAACCAGCCATTCGTCCATGTAGGGACTGAGGCGGTCCTAGCCAATCAGCAGGCACTCTAGGATGCTGTGTGAGTCCCTGTGGGTTGGAGCCTCCCCGTTCTGCTAGCAGTGGAGCTTGCCTGTGGCTGAGGGAAGGGCACCTTGGGCTGGAGGGAAGTGCCACTGGAGGAGATCGGCAGGGTCCAGCTCACACTAACTCAACTAGGAGTTCCCTAGGCATATGCAAAAGAACCTCCTCAGGAAAGCTCCCCCGTTAGCATGTCACAGCTCACTCCGTCATGCGGCAACCCGGGTCTCGAACTGCTGAACTACCACCCTTCCACAGCCTGCAGTTCAGCATCTTCACCACTTGAGCCACTGCTCAAATTACCTGCCTACCGCAGCTCCTTTACAGGTCTTACCAACTGCTTTAACCCCATCTCAGCTATACTTATCTCTTCGTTACTTATGTTCCCTCTAAGCTGTGGAGTCTTGTGAGCAAAAGATTCTACTTTGTGAGCTACTGGCATTAAAGTTGTGAGCAAGTGATTTGGCTCCTGCATAAATTAGTTTGCTCTGGAGCCCTCCTTCATGAGCTGAGACAGAAATGTGTGAGCTGGAGGCTAAAAAACTGTGAGCTAGCTCACACTAACTCAGCTTAGAGGAAACACTGATCTTGACTCTAATGAGCCCTTCCTGGCAACTAACCCCCTCCCCAATATGTAAAGCTTTCGAACTGCTAGGTTGGCAGGAGCTGGAACTAGAGAGGGGAGCTCACTCCATGATGCGGCACCCGGGTCTCGAACTGCTGAACTACCGACCTTCCACAGCCTGCAGTTCAGCGTCTTAACCACTTGAGCCACCGCTCAAATCACCTGCCCACCATTTTTCTTCTCACCTTGACACAGAGAATACTCCATCTTTCTGTGTTATACCTCTGCCAGTCACAGCTGCTGGAAAAATGTCAGGACCTACAATGCCAAGACCACGGCCATACAGGCCGGAAGATCTACAACTAAAGTACAAATGGCATCTTTAACTGGAGCTTGCTTTAAAATTTTTCGGAAGAATAAATTGGTGGTGGGATTCCGGTGGGATGGGTATTGAGGAGGAAGGTGACGTCGGCAGATCTCTTACCAGAGTATTGCTCTTCTTAATGTCCTCTAGACGCTCTAACACTGAGGTCAAGTTGGGGTCATCTGACTCCACAAACCATATTGGCGACGAAGAGGGATAGGACTCCTGTTTGGAAAGCAGAGAAATGCAATGGACGTGTGAATGCAAATTTCAAGAACGGCCCTAGCCACCGAACAAATTCAGACTCCGGCGGCACATTGAAGACCAACAAAGGTTTATTCAAGGAACGGGCTTTCGTGTGCAAGACATCCTTTCCCCAATACATTGGAACGGTAGACGAGGGTCTAAACTTACAGACAGATATTTAACAGCAAATTAACATGTAACACGATGATGTTTGAAGTTATGCAAAGTGAAAAACTCAATTACAAACTTCAGGTTATACGGTCAACAGTTGTGAAGCAATAAACCTGTTAGAATAGCAGATAAATGTCTAAAGGTGTTTTTTTTCCCTAATTGTGGGAAGTAACGCAATCTTAATTATCTCCGCTCAGGCGTGGAGGGCACTTAAGAACATAAGAGAAGCCAGTGTTGGATCAGGCTGATGGCCCATCCAGTCCAACACTGTCACACAGTGGCCAAAAATAGCAGGTGCCATCAGGAGGTCCACCAGTGGGACCAGGACACTAAAAGCCCCCCCACTGTTGCCCCCCCCCC